GCTACTTAGTAAGTACCAGTAATGCACCTGGTACTTGTAAACACCAATATGTATTATTTATTTATATTAACTCCATTTAAAGTGTTATGAATTTATTTTTTTTTTGGCGATCTGACAAATGTGTTTTCCCAAAACATATTTTTTTTAGATGACAAACGGTACAATAATGCATAAACTGCATCTTTATGTGTAAAAGTACCTATACGGTTTAATAGCAGCTGAAGGCTTCTGATAAACTGGCTACTGTTACTGTTTGAGTCCAACACTCAATAGCAGGGCTGCAGAATGCAGTCAGCCCGGTTTACTAAAGATCACCTAGTGCTGTCAGAAGGGTAAAAATATTTTTAAGAGCCTAGGTAGGTACTAGTGCACCTATACTGGTACTCACCACAAATACCGAGTCCAGGTTTGTTTGAGGACTGGTGGATAGATCTTGGTGAACTCTGTGGAAAAAGCAGAATCAAGTGAACACCTTGAATGCTTTATCATGATATAGCAATAAAAAAAACATAAACACACAATGTAGGTTTGTTGTAACCGTTTAATTACTAAATTACTGTTTAAGGTGTTTTATAAGTTATTTTGTTTAAAGGCTATTGTGACTAAGGCAGAAACTACAAACCAAAAGTAGTAAAACCGTGTGCAATGAGAGACTTGTGGTAATTTTAAGCTATCTGGTCTTTCTTACATAAAGCTAACATAAAATAGATTTACCCTGAAAATGAACCATGTTTAAAACCAAGAGGGAAACCCATGGATTGGTTGCTACACAAGGACGCAATGCTTGGTGTTGGAGAGTTTTTGTTTTTGTCTTCAGACCTGGAAGTAAAGAAGAAGTGACCAATGTCAGCAGGTTGGCAGGGCAGTAATCACAAAACAAGACACGATGAACTGATATGAATCTTACCGTTTGAAACCAAGAGGGAAACCCATGGATTGGTTGCTACGTAAGGACACAATGCTTGGTGTTGGAGAGTTTCCGTTTTTATCTTCGCACCTAGTAGAAAATATAAAAAAGGAAGCACTGACCAATCATGCATCAGAGCTGTGAATAAAAACTGTCACACAAACTGATTTTGTATAACCTTACAGTTTGGAAGCAACATCATCTGTGAAATTGCCGTTTCCCATGAACATGCAGCTTGGCAAAGCAGATTTTGTTCTTCTCAGCTCAGTCCTGAAACAAAAGAAGAGCACGTGGTGATCAGTGACAGTGAAGGCGTTAAAGCGTGCTTCAAATGACCACACAGAGCCGGAGACGTTAGAAAAATGTTATACTCTTCTAAAGATCTTCAGTCTCTGTTACTTTAGATTGGGGTTGTGTGAAGTTTGAGATTTTCATTGATCTTACCTTTCATATTTTTCCTGGGTGTCATCTTCAGACCGTCCGTCATTCAAGGACAGACATGCCTCACCTTTCTTCTCACACCGACTCATTGTAGAGCCCCCTTCGTAAAAACACAAAACATTCAGGATATATGTGATGCACAATAATGTTATTCTTCCCAATTCTACACATGGCCTGTCAACAGTCCATCAGAGACTGTATTTTTAATCGGAAGCTCTGTGAGTTTATTGTTGATTCAATTTTTATGAGAATGTTTATTCATGTTTTATTGAGTCTCTTAACTTACACCTTTATCTGTTGGTTTGGACTTTTGACATGCAAAAACAGGAACAAGATCTCGGGGATTGTCAGGATGTGCAGCAAAACTGCTGGCATAGCCCTACAGAACCTCACTGACCTACACAAGACGAGGTCAGTGAACAAGTCCAGGCAGATTCTGGCAGATCCTGATCATCCCCTCCATGGTGAGTTCAGGTTGTTTCCATCTGGATGCAGGTATCTGCTGCCCAGATGTAGAACAAACAGACTGAAAATCTCATTCATCCCTGTAGAGATCAGGCTTCTCAACAAACTGATGATTTCTGTTACTTTAACGTCTTAATGTAGTATGAATGTTTTATGTGACTACCGACTGTGAAACAAATTGGGGATAATAAAGATTCTTGAACTTGAACTCTTGATCATACCAAGTGTTTCAAGAGAACGCTTGGAATGAAAACTCGTATTTCAAATGTAACGCTTTAGTTTAAATAATTGTAATACTGAATTAAGTCCATTGACAACTTAATAATTTCTTTTTTTCCACATCAATGTTTGGACATATATAGAAATTTGAAAATGAATCTGAAATGTTATAAAATGAGTATCTGTGTTTTGCAAAACAAGACATTTAAAGCTTTCACATTACTCAGTAAACCTGTACATTTTTTCATACTTGAACTTAGACAAAAAAATATATCGGATATAAAAAAAATTAGACAATTGAACGGTTATTGAATCCAAGTCCTGCAGCAGGTTGTGGTGGATGTGCCTTTAGGTTTAGTATACAGCTTGTCAACAGACTGACGGTGTCAACAAGGGGGCAGAACATTACTATGTTAATATTTTTGAAGTTTAAGATGAATAAAGTGTTTTAAAATTAATTGTCGATATATTTATTAGTAATTTACTAAAATAATCGTAACACACCCATTTTATCCTGATGCATGCTCAATAATCCAGATAGAAGAATCTTTAAAAAAAAAAAAAGTTAACGTCAGGTCCTTTGGACGGGTTCAAAAAGACTGAAGTCTTTCGGATGAGACGAAATGTTTCTACGTTTAGTTTAGTTTTTTGAACGCGTCCAGAGGACTTAACTTTTTAAGACACACCTGTTTTGTTTTAGTTTAAGAAGTCTGGTTCCTCTTTGTAACAAAGAACAAAGATGTGCTAGTTTTTTCCTTTGCCAACAAAAACAATAGTTCTCATTCCAGACTTTTGATTCCCACTCGAGTCGTTTTTGTTCTGCCTCCCTTCATTCTTGCCTCCCTGAATGCATCACAGTATGCCAACATCTGTCATAAACGTGTTTTGAAGTCTAAAATTAGACAAACCCTCTTTCTTCCTGGTAATGTGACCACTTTCTTATGAAAGGTTTTCGGATTAAACATATTTTTCCAATTGATTCCCCAAACAAGCATCATACTTGCAAGGAGTCAGATTTCTGCTTTCTCCATATGTCTATGTTTACTAGAAGATTTTATCAATTATAAATGTTACTTTATTTTAAAACTCACTCTTGAAAGTCATTCACGTGAAACTAAAAATAATTTGATGCATTTTAAGCCAAAAGCAGTTTATAATTCCCTTTTAAAGAGTTTAGTGCGTCCACAATTGGTTTGTAAACATTACAGAAAATCTATAGCTGCACAATTTATCAGAACTCAGTGTATTATGCTTTTCAAATAAATATTTTATAATATTTTATTTTATAAAGCACATTATTCATTAATAGAAATACAGTATTAATAGCTACAATAAAAATAAAAAAAACAGAGTAACATGTTTGCTTTACCTTGTCTGGGTCCATGAGCAGCTTCCAAACCAGTGAAAAGTGTAAATGAAAGAAAAACTTACAGCTTCCTCGTTAGCTGTGACGAGCTGCCAAACAGGTCCTTCAGGTTTGGAGTTACAGGATTTGATGTGATTGGTGTTCCACCTCTGGACTGTAACCAATGACTCTGTGAGCGGTGCAGTATGAGCAACCAAATATTAGTTCAACAAAGGTCGGTAAAAAAAAAATACAGCATCCTGTTCAAGCATCCAGCTGCAGTGATTTATAATTAATTTGGAGCCAACATCGATTTATTCAGTGTGATATAAATATGAGACATCGTAATTAAATAAATAATTTTATAATAATTTTTTGATTCATGAGGAAAATCTATTTATGTTAAATAGTTTAATTATTCTTAGTCTCAGTCCCACCAAAAGATAAACACTTTTATTAGTTTGAAGCTGAGCATTTAATAAGAAGCATAATATAAATAAAGTACATTCAACAGATTTTCTATGAGTGTGTTATGGATAAAAGATTCAGCATCCCCTTAAAACTGTCTAAATTCTCAGTTCACATGATGGTTAGGCTGTCCGAAGAGAACAGTGAAGGCATATATATTATTTTAAAATTTTTTTTTTTGGATAATTTAAATGTATTTAGTATAAACTATTATATTTTGCTTTGTGATGTAATTGTGTGTGTTTTAAGTAAGTTGTAAGCTTATGCATAAAACTTTCATGATTTTTTTCTTTATTTTTTTTTAGAAGGGGGGCGGGGGCACTTGTAAGCCCAAATAGGGTTTTTATGACCTCTCCTGCACATTTTTATTTTAACTTTTCTTTTATGTGTCGTTTCTTTTTGTGCAAACAAATAAACAAATATGTAAAGAAACAAACTTTTAGAATGTTTTCACTTTTATTCACTATATTCAATTAATTATTACAGTTGCTGATAATAAAAATGTTATTACCGGTAGTTAACATGTTTTAAACACTATTATATTCACTTTAACAATCTGTTGACCAGAACCAAACAAAAGAAATCCAACCTCTCTCTCAGGCGTGTTTATCTGGAAATGACAGATACAGATTGCCCTAGTGGGCAATTTTTATTATTTTTATTACTATTTTTTATTTTTGCCTTTTATAAATCTTATTCTCTCTGGCTTTCTGGGTGGCCCCCGCTTCGAAAAACACTGAAAGATTCAAACGGTTTCTCGTAATTTTTCATTTTGTCATGTATAAAAAATTCTGAAAAAAAGTTTTTAACTAAACAACTTTTAATAAGTAGAATTGTTCCAACTTGCTGCTCTGCTTTCACGTGCCTCTTGAAGCGTTTAGTTCTACCTGGAAGTCTGAGGTTCCTGCAAGGTGTTTAACTGCACATTTCTGTACAAATACCTTCTGATGTCATTTCTGTAAATCTACAGGAGTCACCTGACACAACAGGCTACACTTCAGTTTCCACGTATTTGACTGTTTAAAGGGCCATCACTCGTTGAAGCATGTTTAAATCTCAGTTAAAATGAAAAGGATTGTACATCGGAAAATAAAAAAGCAACAATGAGATAATTTTGGAAAGTATTTATTACTTTCATATAAGTTGACTGTCATACAATAAAAATTTGACAAGATTGCCATGGTAATAAAAGGCTACAGAGCATATACTACTATTAATCATATGTTTGTCAGTGGATTAATTCATGTTAATTAATGCTTACATTTTATTAGTTTGTTGGGAGTAAGAATAACAAAATTATAACAATGAAATGGAATGTCACATCTGAACCTGGTTTATACAAATCTGATTACATGTAAATTAATATAATGCTGTTAATATGAAAACTATGAGATGTTTGCAGATCCCCACTGGAAAGTCTTGTCCTTTTCATATGCTCATGGTGACCTGTATAAACTAAAAAAAACAAAACAGAAACATGTTCAGAAATAATTTGCAATTTTCCATCATCTGACAAACAGTCTAACTTTGGTGTTAAATCTCAAAAAGGAGGTATAAATTTACAGTTACAATTTTTTTTATCTGAAAAATGATTAGTGTGCAGAAAGCGTCCATGACAGTTCAGTCAAATTAGGACTGTGGGACAATGGTTAGATGACATTGTAGGCGCAAATTCTGCTGCAAGTAATGCACCACAAGGGGACAGTGTTCTGTCTGTGAATTTCATTTTGCCCAAATTCAAATCAGTACAATTCAGTTTATTTATTGATATAAACTTTATTTCTAGTGGCAATGCATAACTAGAACATTTTCTCTTAATAAAAGAAACGGTCCGTTAACTGTAGATCCAAGTGTAGCAGATGTGAGGGAGGGAGGAGGGGTGACACTTTCTCCTCACTTTACTACACTTAATATTGCATTCGTTAAAACAAGCTTTAACTCGGAAAATGAAGAAATAATTAGAAAGAAAAATAACCCAGCAAACATTTAACCAAAAATTAGAAGCAAATAGAAGTTTTAGGAAATAAAAAAGAAATTACTCTTTTTCGTAAAAACTTACATCATCATAGCGAAATGAGGCGTTTCCTGAGTGGGTCGTATCCCGTCTTCGGAACTGGTCTGAAAAACAGACAAACTTCACAAGTTTTGGGTGATGTATTGTATACGGTAGTTTTTTTTTTTTTAATCCTATGTTAATCAAACATACAATGATCCCAACGACAGTCCAAAAAGGTTTCAACACAAGCTTGTGAGATAAACATGCACGCACAAACACAATAACCTCTTACAAAACCAGTCTAAATCTGACTCATCAGAAGAAGTCAAACTGAAAAAGATTATTCCATCTCTGAAATATCTCACTGGGCTCTCACAGTGGTGTCATATCTCCCTTACTCCACTCACCAGTCAGGGCGCGGAGTCTCACACAGCAGCTCACAAAGTCATCGAAAGGGATCCTGCCATGATTGCTGTACCGCTTCATGATGCTGTTCATAGTCTGAGGGCTTAAATTGTAACCTGCGTGAACACATGAGGAAAAACAGATAAAAGCCATCCAACAAGAGGGATTTTTAGCAGATGGAAAATACAAATACTTTAAACATGAAAAACAAGTTTGTGCATATGTAGTGTATTTCTAATCCTTAAATGTGTTCATACCCATTGATTGAATAGCCTGCTGCAGTTCCTGGCCCTCTACTGCCCCGCTGTGGTCACGATCAAAGGATGCAAAGGTTGCCTTCCAGCCATTCAGAGCCTGACACAGATCCTTGAACTCATTAAAGCCCAAGGAGCCAGACATGTCCCTCTGAGAGAGCACCTTCAGTCAAGGACCTCTCACTCACTTTTTAGTATTTTACACTTAAACAAAGTTAGCATTAACTACAGGCAGAAGTCTTAAAGATACATCCATCCATCCATTATCTTTACCCGCTTATTCCATTTTGGGTCACGGGGGTCGCTGGTGTCCATGTCCAGCAATCACTGTGCGAGGGGCGGGGTACACCCTGGATGGGTCGCAAGTCCATCACAGGGCCACATAGAGACAAACGAGACAAACAACCATTCACTCTCTCACTCACACCTAGGGACAATTTAGAGTTACCAATCAGCCTAACATGCATGTTTTTGGTCTGTGGGAGAAAACTGGAGTACCCGGAGAAAACCCACGCATGCACGGAGAGAACATGCAAACTCCACCCAGAGGGCCCCTGGACCGGGGTTTGAACCAAGGACCTGCTCGCTGAGAGGCAGCAGCTCTACCAGTTGTGCCACCGTGCTGCCTTCTAAAGGATACATCCAACATGTTAATCATCAGTCTGCACGTATCAATGCTGAAGGCTGCGGAAGAAAACATGCATAATAAAAACCACGGCACATTTGAACGAGCAAGATATACAAAAAAATGAAAGCAAGATAATAAAACTCGAACAACTGTATGAATAAAATACTCTTTTTATATAATTGTATGTTTATTTAGGTGCATTGTTCTTACGTTGGTATGAGCCAGACATGCCAGACTGTGTGAGGCAGCGCTGCAGCTCATCTGCAGAGATCTGTCCATCCTGACAGAGTTTCATGAAACAAAAGGAGGAAGGTCAACAATGCAGTTCATTATCTGCCAGGTATTGTACAAAGTTTTACAGGAACATCAATGCTGCACTGCAGTTTCCAAATTTGAGCCATACAGTAATAATTTTTTAGATTTGCTAGATTTATTTTGTGTGACAGACTTACCTGTCCAGCAACGGCAGAAAAAAATCCATAGAGAGGATCTTGCTGCTAAGAGTAAAAAAAGTAAAATTTAATAAGTATGTTTGCTTATCCATTTTGAACTAAAATAAAATAAAAAAAAGTTTATTTTAAATTTAACTTATAGGTCAATTTGCTCTAAAGTCAGTTGAGACTACAAGGCTACAAAACCTATTCCTAAACACAAAAAATAAATCATTCTGGCCAAGTCAACGTCTTCAACTAGTTCTACAGAGGACAGATAAATGAACAAATAACTAAAAATATAAGACAAGTTTGTTCAATAATCAAGAGGACTACTGACAAGATCTAAACTATTTATTTAGGCGTCTACCCTTTGTGCTTTCTAAGCCTCATAACGAACACCCCACCCTACTTCACAGATTGTAGTCACTAATTAACACACACACACCCCATGTAAATACTTCAAATATACCTGGTCTCTGCAATAAAACCATCAATCAGATTATTTAGTCAAAGAGAGTTTAAAGTTCAATTAAGAAAAAAAACAGAAAAATCTCACTAAAACCAAATTTCTGCTGAGCAAGTAGTTCTTATCTGGATGTGTTTAATGAAAGACTCAATAAATAAATAAATAAATAAGTAAATAGTTCAGTAATTTATTTTATATTCCAACATGTGGCAAATCTACTTGCCAACTTGAAATTTGAGATTGAGATTGAGATTTGGGACACAGCAACAATCCAGCAAGATATTAGAAATAAGTTAGCTCTTATTAATCAAGCACATATTCCTTTAAAAGTTAATACGTAAACGTTTTGGTTAAAAAGCTGATATTGGTTCTTGATTAAAAATATATATTGCATTTTTAACTAATGTATTTAAAGATAAGTTGTGTTTTGCTTTTCCTGCCACTGGCCTGCTGGACTTATTTTACTTTTATAAATTCATTAGTTCACGTTAAATAAAATTCCTGAGGTTTATGTGCAGCTGTGGAAATACTGCAACTTCCGGAGTAAACAGAACGAGGACCTGAGAATATTTTCACCTCTATTAAAACACAGTTTCAGGTTTCTTACCATTCCTGGGACTCCCCCGGGTGGTGCACCGTATCCGGGATAGGCCATTTTGATACCGACAACCGAAAACTAGCAAAACAACGGATTCCTTGATAGCGTCCCTCAACTTGGAGGGTGTGTCTTCCTCAAAACAGAAACGCCAATAAAATTAAACGAATTCTGAAATTATTTAACAACTAGCAGCTTATTCTGAAACACGGAGAAGCAGCGACACGCGAACAAACTAGGAGATGACTGTAGCTGCGAGTAATGTGAAAGATTGTTATCAACGTCCGGTTTCTCGGTTTCCTTAGCGCGAGCCCCTTCTCTGCATTTTGATTGGACGGTGGAGACCACGTGACACCAAACTACCAACACAAATGGAGGGAAAAAAAAGTTTAATTAGTCAAAAATTGATGCTAAAACAGATTATTAAACCACCAAGTGATTTTATAATTATAATATATTGTGGTTGAAAATTTGTCTTTAAATAAACATAAAAATTATACAAGCAAAAACCTCATATCACACTTCTTAAGCAGCTCCAGTGTGCATCCGGAACAAATTCAGTATTTTTATAAACCTCTCCTTTGTAAATAAATAAAAACATTTACCCAAGAAACCTCTTTAATTTTTACTTTGTATCCTTTTGACCTTCGATCTAAGCTCAACCACAACCTTTTTTACACAACAGATAACACAAACATTACACAATTTGTAGAATAGATTATAATAATAACTGAAATTGATAACATACACTGTCCAAACAAAGGACTGTTGAACATCATGGACTGAAGTTTGAGTCTCTGAACATAATATCTGAGACAAGTCAAGGTCAAGGTGTCTTTATTGTCATTCACATCACATGCGGTACATGAGGTGGAACGAAACTATGTACACAGGGTCCCAGTTACATCCAACAAAATACAAATTGTAAAGAAAAACTGTAGTAAGATCTAAGATATGAACTAATAAATATGCTAAGCTAAGAATATACTAAGCACTTGTAGCAGTATAGAAATATATCTGGCTAGAGATATGTCACTTCCTGTTAGATAAGTGTTTGAAAATGTATTTATGCTTACATGTTTTCAAATAAAGACTGATAAATGTGCATTGAAAAGATTTAATAAAAATGTTGCAATGGTATTGTGCTTGTGTAACTGTGGCAGAGTCAGAGTCTTTATCATTCTTAAAATAACAATGAAATTACATCTCCAGCATCTCCATGTTTGGCGTTGAAGTGTCTGGTATTGCCATGATACTTCAGTTCAGTTGAACACACCAGACACTGCACCTGTAGAAATAGACTAATGTAAAAATATATATATATATTTTGAGCCCTTACTGGCTTATGACTATTAAAATCACATACATCATTTTACTGTAATTACATTAAATGCATAAGTTAAATGGGTTGGATTATATGCTGAACATTATAACTTTTTTGACATTTAAACGCAAAAACCACCTTATCATGAGCAGAATGAAGTGTTCCCACTTAGAACGACCTCTTTTCCTGGCTGGCTTCATAATTACTTAATTTAAACTATATCAACAACACAACAGCAGAAACACACCTACTTTCCCAACACATTGCAAACATTTTAGAGCTGTTTTTTTTTTTAGTGTTGAGTGCTCTCAAGGCAAAACTCTCTCCATCAGTCACCTGTCAGAATCGAGAGGCGGTGCCAGGGAATCAGCTGATTGGACTGCGAACCAGTCGAGCGATTCATTCCATTTTAAAAAATTTATTATTATTATTTTTTTAATTATTATATTTTTATTACAAAACTTTATCAATTGTACAAACAAGTGTCTGACAGGGGTATATTAGCAGGTACAAAAGTAATAGTATACAAGTATAGAAAAGAACAATATGATTATAAAACGGTACAAAAGGTAAAAAAGTCTAAAGATACTAAACAATCTATTTACAGGATATATAGATAAATTCACATAAAGTTTTTTTTTAGAACTGAGTTGGTTTTCATTGCCTTTTTGTTTTCCAGTCTTTTAATAGTGGTGCTGTATATTTAAAGGTCCTGCTCGGCTTGGAGTTTGACCACTTTTTCTTGTGAATGTGGAATTTTCCCATGAGAAGTAGACGTTGGGTGAAGTAGATCAAGTCTTTGTCCATATCCTTATCGTTGAAGCATAATATAATGTCTTTCTCCATAAGTTGAAGTATTTGTCCAGTTTTCTTTTGTATGAGTTGTTGTACTTCTGTCCAGAATGTTTTTGTGTGATTACATTGATAGAATAAATGAGAGATTGTTTCCTTGTGTAGTTCACAAAATGTACAAGAGTAGTCAATATCAAGTTTAAATCTTTCCAGTGTTTTTTTTTTTTTTTAACAGGATATACATTATGATTGATTTTATATGAAACCTCTTTAACTTTACATGTTATGCAATGTTTTTTCCCCATTTAACCAAACTTGTTCCCATTAATTTCTCCAAAAGTAGAGGACCAAAAAAATCTACCAGGACGAAAAGTAATCTTCTGCAGACATGATCTTATAAGTTTGTTGGAAGATGTTTTTTTTTGTGTGATATCCTTTTCACCTAGCATTATGGGGCTTCTAAGTTGGTCTCTAGATGAATGATCAGGTTTTGTTCCTTTTAACTGCTGTATGTCAGGCCCCTGACCTCTTGGCTTTCAGTAAATGTGGCCCACTGAGCAATTTATTTGAAAAGCCTTGGTATATACATATAAAATAAAATAAAACTTATAATAAAACTTACCGGTATATATAAGTTTTATATGGGTGTTGCAATGTTCAGTAGACTCTTAAAAGTTGTCTGTTTATAGCACAGCAGGTTAAAGCATATAGTCACAGATGAGAAAATACCAGAACGATCCTTTACTGGAAAACCATTACATCAGAGGGAAAGACAATCTGCCCAGTCAGCTTGTTTGGGCCACATGCAGTCTCTCCTTCTGTGCCCACCTTCGGCACCAAAAAAATTCAAATGATGCTTCATCATTTTTATCAGAAGCTTTAAGGGAAGGAAGAAACAGTTTGGTTTAGATCTCACATTTGTGAAATGCACTGAACTTTGTGCTGGGATGTACAAATTGCTGAATTCTGACTCTTACCGTCAGTCGCCAGGACTTGTGATGTGCCTCCATCCTCACGAAACAGAGAGTTACGCTTCGGACATGCTGAGCCACCTCGAAGAGGAAGAGGAGGAAGAAGCAGGACATTTTATGGTGATTTGCCATAATACCGTTGGTAGGTTTAAGATTACATACTATACCATACCTAAAAGAATAAAACTTGCAAACATTGAAAAGAAAACGCCAAAAGAGATGCTGACAACAATGAAAAAAAAATAACTTGACTGTCTGATGGAGAATAGCTTTTACCAACAGAGTACATTTCGAATAAATAATTGTTGCAATGATTATTATGATGATTATTTACTCTGTTGATAATTATTAATTGGTAACTTATTGGTAACTATTAAATACATGTACTTAATATCAGTCACTGTCAGCCCAGCCTTGAGGAAGTATTTGTGAAAACCATTAACTATTTGGCTGTACTGTAGTGTATATATCATTCTTATGAATGTCCTACTGTTTATAATGCATTCTCAAAATGATGTCATCAACAAGTATAATCAGTAAATCTTACCATTATTGATGCTGGTTGTACTTGTGTCTACAATTTTGTTTTTACCCCAAATCTATGAAGTTAAATCAGTTTCAAATAGTCACACAAACATGCAACAAGATTTGTATGCGTACAATAAGATCCACAAGCGTACTACAAGTTTTACTAATACATACTACAAGATTCACAAATGCAAAACCAGCTTTTTAAATGGACACATTTCACTTTGCACAAGTAGAAATATTGCACAAATCACCTGCTGTGGACGAATCAGTCAACGCGCATCTTGCATCTTGTGACTTTTGAGACTTTCTTACCGCTCCAGATTCACAAAGGTAATGCTGCGTTCACACATACTACTGGAAAAATATATTTTCCAGTATTATTAGCAGAGGAAGAAAATACTAACACCCCCCCTCCCCCCCCCCCCCCCCCCCCCCGTTGTTGTTTTACAGGTGAAAGAATAACCTAACCATTTTTTTAAATGTTTATTCAGCTGTAGTCTACAAAATCAACATTTTCTTTTTGTGGAAAATTTACCATAAAAATATATTTTCCTGTATTTTAAGCTGCAGAAGAAAATAACAGAAAATATATTTTAAATGCACGTGTGCATGTTTTAATATAAGGGTTATGAGCTATTGTGCCAAGTTAGAATTGTGTCTTTGGTAAGGCTCAGATGTCCCATCTTTTTACCAGGCTTGAATGCAGCATTCCCTTTGTGAATCTGGAGTGGTAAGAAAGTCTCATCTCTCAGTCACATTCACAAGCAAGCTGGTCCGTGTGCTCATGGTGACTGGTCTGTCCACAGCAGGTGATTTGTGCAAGTGTATGTGACGATGTGCAGTGTCGTATGCGCAGAATATTCCTACTAGTGCAAATTGAAAGTATACATTTGAAAAACTCTTTATACATTTCTTGTAGTACATATTAAAACTTGTGGTTGTGGATATTGTACACATACTCAATAATCACTATAATACCTGATTATTATACTAATAATCAGGTCTCTCGTAAATGAGTCCTCGAGGCTCGTTGGGATTAACCTGTCTAAATACAAAACTCCTTGTAGGCATTCAAATCTTGCGGTATGATTGTGTGACTACTTGGGACTGATTTATCTTCATACAAAATACTCCCTGCTGTTAGAGCATGTGCGTGCCAGTGTGCCAATGGTTTTGCTCGTGTCCAAGCCCAGCAGTGCTCTTCAACATGCACAGAAAACAGATGGCTCAAACACATGATTCAACTGTGATAAACAAAAAGAAGCAATCCCCCGTCATCAGAGGTTACCATATTTTCAGTCTGTTCAGTTGTTTTTGACCACATTATTCTTGTGTCTTGCTTTTCCCACAACATTGTGGTGAATTTACAGGTCAAGCCGATGATGCTCAGTGGCCCTTCAATGAACAGCATATCCACTCATTGTTATCCACCCCATCGCGCCTGACTGGATGTCATCCAGGTGGTTATCAGTCACAGCATCAAATGAAAGGGATTACCACTGATTATGTGGAAGTATCACAACATCTCACTGGAGGATGCTGCTGTGAAGGACCGAGGATTGAAACTAATGGAATCTATGAGATGCAAGTGAACAGTTTTGCCCCTTGCTGTGCAGAATCTCCATACATCTGCTACGGAGGTGAGGTAGTGGACTTGGTGAATTGATTCAAACACTTTTTGATTTTCCTGCAATCACTTACGTTGATTTCCCGTAATTTATAAGAACATGAATCTGGAGTGACTTCATTAAAGACAACTAATACTGAGTTTAACTGCAAATGTCCATCTTTGTATTCTTGCATTTGCAGTGAGAAGAAACTTGGTGGTGGAAGTGGTGGAGGAAGTTGCTGTAGAAGATACCTTAGAAGTAATGTAAGTACTTCATAAACTGATTTAATTACTATTTTGGATTAAAATTTCATTGTTATTTTATACAAACACATTTGTGTAATTAAGTTTGTTTTTCTCTTTCCAGATTGGAGGATGTACAGGCTGATGATTTGGATGCTGAGCTTTTACAACATGAACATCTGTGCCCTACATGAAACATGAGTGATTTATGCCCTCCAACAAAGCTTTTCCTCACATTTTGCTCCTGCTTGTATTAGAGGAATATGTTGTATCTCTATTGTTGTGTGGCAATGCTTTTTAAACAAAACAATATCTGTCACTAATAAAAAGCATTATGATGCTAACAGTCGCTTTTTTTAATAGAAAGTATTGTTCTCAATTAAGATTTAAGCAGTGCCATCCAAAGTTATGTTTGCACAAATTAAATCATTAAAAAATGTTATTTACCTCTGTTGCAGGCAGCAAGGACAAAATCAGTTTTCAACTCACGGGTTGCATCAATTAAAATATTCAACAATAACACCATAATAATTTAATGGTTTCTACCACAATAACATCCACCACCAGCTCCAAACTTTCTCCCTAAAAAAAAAAAAGATTAAACCTGCAGCATAGTGTGCACTGTTCCATTAAATAAATGGGGGAATTTATATTTATTATATAATATATTAAATAATAAATTAAAAGCTGGAGGAGAACAAATAGTCGACATAAAAGTAGGGGGATTTGAAAAATAAATATCTACCACATATGTAAAAAATAAAACGTGTGTACTTTTATTTTGCCTTTTTGTAGGACGAAGGAAAAAAGGGAACATTTGTAATGACGGACTCCTTTAACAAAATTAACAAATATTCACTTTAAAAGGGGCGCTTTGCTAAGTTGTTGATTATGTTTCCTCCCACATGTTAGACTAAATCAGGGATCTGCAATTTTTAGGATCATAAAAACCATTTCTGCCTCTTCGTTCACTAAATTAAACGTGTCCAGAGCTGAAAAACCTGTTACAATTGTCATTATCAACTGGTGGCCCATGGGCCACTTTAAGTTTGTTAGAGAGGGCTTTCCTGACCAGTCGGCATGACATTATAAAACTGAAAACGTCTAATGATCGTTAAACAAGCTGGATCCTGGCGGATGGATTGGAATCTGTGGCCAGATTCTTTGGATTTGCTGCAGGATATCCTTCATTCCCACATATATCAGTATCTATACCTCTTGAGTGAAACCAGGATGATGAGTTACACAACATTTTAATTTCCCTTTGGGATTAATAAAGTATTTTTGAATTGAATTGTGTTAACATTTATTGATATTTTTACATTCTAAGACAAAAGAAAAGACTGGATTCCATCCATCCGTCCATCCATACACCCATACACCCATCCTTCCATCCATCCATCTATCCATCCATTCATCCATCTATCCATCCATCCATACATACATACATATATACATACATACATCCATACATCCATCCATCCATACATCCATCCATACACCCATCCATCCATCCATCCATCCATCCTTCCATCCATCCATCCATACATCCATACATCCATCCATCCATCCATCCATCCATCCATCCATCCATCCATCCATCCATCCATCCATCCATCCATCCATCCATCCATCCATCCATCCATCCATCCATCCTTCCATACATACATACATACATACATCCATACATACATCCATTATCTTTACTCGTTTTTTCCTTTTTGGTTGCAAGGGCTCATTGGTGCCCATATCCAGGTCGCAAGTGACTGGATTCTTGTAAGGAGAATAAATATATTATTTTGCCAATTTAGAAAGGAAAACTAAAAGTGACTATAATTTTCTCTGTGTATTAATACTAGTATCCATATATTTGCAAAGACAATGACAGGAAAATTAGTCATGTTTTGCTGTGGGTACAACATCCTATTCGGTTTTATGTTAGTTTTGTTCAAAGACTGAAAGAGCCGCTGTGAAGGGACCAAAGAGCCACATGTGGCTCCAGAGCCACAGATTGTGGTAACCAAATTGTCCTTAGGCGGTCAGTGGACCAGTTGCTCCTCACAGTTCCAGGAACTCGTCTTAAGCGCAGAGGTGACAGGGCCTTCTCTAGCAGGACCAAGACTTTGGAACGAGTTACCTCTGCTTGTCAGACTGGCCCCCTCCCTCTTGGTTTTCAAATCCCGTTTAAAAACTCACTACTATTCAGTAACTTTCAACACCAGATTCAATTCAATTCAATTCAAATTCAAAAATACTTTATTAATCCCAGAGGGAAATTATTTTGTTGTTATAACTCGTTATCCTCATTTCATTAAGAGATGTTATAGATACTGATGCTGTAAACAGGAAGGATCTCTTGTAAAGGTCCATCCCACAGTGAATCCTAAGAAACTGGCTGCAGATGCCGTCTGATCCGTCCACCCAGACTCGGCTGGCCTCTCAGTTCCCCTGGACTGTAGGACCGCTTGAATGCTGGTCTGAACTCCTCCCAGAGCGATGGCCACTCCTCCCAGCAGTCTGCCGAGCTCCTCATAGCTGTGGACAGCCAAATGTAGGTGCCGGGGGACGATCCTGTCCTTCCGCTGTCGTGAGCCGTGTTTCCTGCTAGTTCCAGGATCTCAGTGGTCAGGCACTCGAGCGCAGCTGGCAGGTAGATGAGAATGCGTCCACATAACAACCTTTTCAACTCATTTGAGAGTTGGGGCCATAGTTGAGATATTATTTGAGCTTTTGAGATGTTAATCAGCTGCTGTTGTTGTAGAAAACAGCCTTGTTGCCATGGTTACACATCATAACAAATGTCCAATACTTAAAAAGTTTCAGTAAAAATCCTTCCGGCTGCACAGCATTTGATACCAGAGGAAACAATGATCCAAAAAATGTGATTTACATCCAGAAAAAGAGGAATTAAAGTTTCCAAAAGCAAAATCTCAGAATGAAAGTATCAGAGCTGCTCCAACATGCAGCCACCTTGAGCGGCGCAATTCTAGAACGATGAACAATTCTAGAATGATTCTTCTAGATGATCTGTGTTGTGAACCTGTACGCTCCACACTGGTTTGTCGTCATATTTATTATCTGCATGGTTTTTATGTCTATATTTTTGTATATTTTGTATATTGCTTCGTGTGTTGTCTGTTGTTTTGTCTGTACAGCACTTTGGTTGGCCTCGTAGCTGTTTTAAGTGCTCTATAAATAAAATGGTATGGTATAGTCATGTGTGAGAATGTTTGTCTCTACGTGGCCCTGTGATGAACCTGCGACATGTCCAGGGCGTACCCAGCTCCTCACACAGCGGCTGCTGAATATGAACATCAGTGACCCCCCTACCCAGAAAGGAAGAAGCTAACAAACTTCAACTACCAGCATGCATCACGTTTACGTTTCCTCCGTTTTTCTCATGCGTCATCACTTCGAGCGGAAGTTAGCTTGCGCAGAGCTTCCTTCCGTATGTGGGAACAGCAAACGAGCATGGTTTTAGGATTTTGGTTTGTTTATTTAGGTAACAACTGTTACAATGTCAGATTCGTCGCAAACAGAAGATTTTCTGGACCGTGTGGACCGTCTACAGGAGCTGACAGAGTTTACTGAAAAGTGCAACAAGCAGTTAAACGAAATTTTTGAAACGTTAGGATGGTCGCGAGACCACAGCAAGGATTCCAGTCAGGTAACCGTCGTCTAGTTTATACAGTAAAATGATTATAGATTGAATTTACAGACAAGTTTAAAATTTTAAAGTTATATGTTTATTTGTCGAATGTAGCAACGTTGTGACACCGTGTCTCATTTAGCTCGCTAGTCCTTGTCGCAGAGTGAGTCGTGTTTTTTTATTTTGTTTTTCTTGCGGTGGAAGGAGCCGATGGTGCAGTGTCCCTACGACCCAGCCCACAAAGTCCCAGTCAGCACCATGGAGAAGCACAAAGCCTCATGTAAGCTCCGGAAAATGGGATACTCAGCCGAGGAGCAGGTACAAATCATAGAAACAGGAATAAAAACCACATTGATCAGGAACAAGACACTTTAAATGATCTAGATATTAGATATTTTGCTCTTGCAACTGTCTCTGCAATACCCATCCCATCATGACTTGGAACCATTAGGAAAACAAACTGGAAGAGCACCGTGCCATTACTGTATTTACCGTGAACTACAGTAAAAATGTAATAAATATTTAAAGTCAGTCATTAAGAACATTTGCATGTCTTTTAGAGACTGTATGCCACACTGGGTTACATTTTGTATTTTATTTTTTCACGTAAGAGCTTTATTGATTAACGCTTCCCTGATATCTACCATTGTCATCACTGTTTTGTTCATTTTGGCTCACTTAGACTAAACTTTTGTTCAGAATGGGGTTTTCTGGCTAATAATGGGGATAAGATGGTAAATAACACGATGTAATTCAACACGGTGTTACGTCATTGTTTTACAGGCACAGATGCACGATCCCTCTGTGTGTTATGAAAACAGCAGTGTCAGAAGCTTTTTAATGGGTGAGTCATTATTGAGCTCTGTTTATACATTATTCATCAATTCCTTTGAGATTGTCCTGATCATACTCTCCAGAGAAGGCATTTGATGTGATTTTATGAGGATCTGTTAATAGGAACTTTATAAGTTTAACTGAAAAGCTCATAAAAATACATCCATCTTGAAATATTTAATCGTATTCAACAAAAAGACTAAAGTTCAGCTTATAAATGCCAAATTGTAAAAAGCAAAAAGCTTATTTTGCTTCTGCATTTTGTACACTGTTTAATTAGACTAATTATGGTTATTTACTTTAGATAAACTAAATAAGTTAATAACTACAAAAAGATTTGAAGCTCTCGACCTTGACCTCTCTAAGTGGCTTTAAGAATCTGTTGGACTCCTGGCAGGGACCAATGCAGACATGTTCCTGTTTTTAGTTTTATACATTTGTCTCGGAATCTAGCAGTTTTTTTGGTTTTGTTACCTTTTTCCTTTTAGCCATCCTATTTGTTAAAAAAAACAAACAAAAAAAAAAAAACTGTAGTATGAGTTTTTATAACTGCTTATTGTTGTTGCTGTTGTCCATTGTTGTCATCTTTCTTTGTTGAAATCAGGTCTCTCTTGTAAATGAGTCCTCGAGGCTCAATGGGATTTACCTGTATAAATAAAGGTTGATTGATTGATTGATTCTTCATGCAGACAAATCAACTCAGCACCAGGTGATCATTCAGGCAAGATCTGCAGCTCCACTGATGAGGATGGAAGGAGTCTTCTGGCAAGGTATCCGCTCATCTTAAGATGTTTCAGTCAAAACAACATTTCAGTGGCTGCTCGTTTGTGCTGCCACCAAGGCGTATCTCAAAACTAGGTTTTACTTCGAGTTTAACTTTTAAACACTAGAGCGGCGGCTTCCAATTCTGGGCCTTGGGGGCCATTAGAGGATTCTCTGCTCCAATAAGCCAAATTCCAGTTAATGGGTTATTAACATGCTTATTCATAACATAAAAACCTGCTAAAGAGAATTGAATCAGGTGTGCTAGAGCAATTAAACGATTTAAAGTGTAGTGGCTCACAAGGACTAGCTTTGGATGCCACTGCTCTAGAGGCAGTGCTTCCAGTAGATGTCACTGTTGTGTACAATAAATCAACATATGTATCAGTTTTTGTGGGGCAGAGTGTGTAACTTGTGTGTTGTGTGTTCTGTTTGCAGCCACAGGGGTGAGTATTAGAGAAGAGCTGAGCTCTAGAAAATTCTGCTGCTCTGGTTCAGGCTTGCCTGATTACGTGCAGTATCCTTTTAATATAATATCCTTTTGAAAAACCTCCGAGCTGCGCTGCAGGACTGTTTTCACAAACGTGCACAAAAACGCACATTTCCCTTTACGTGTTGGGAAAGGTCCAGATTTGTAATTATTAAAAACATGGATGTATTGCAATATACTCAGTCCATGAAGTTTTCTAAAGACTACTTAAAAGCCATACCTATTATTTTTAATAAATTGATACTCATCATAAGTCATTTTTGTTTTCAATTTTCCCTGTGAACATATAAACTTGATTTAAAAAAAAAAATAGTGTAGGGCTGTGTTATGAACTAGCATAAATGTAAATAAAGAGCAATAATCTGATTTTCTTCTCTCTTTGAGCTCTCCATACAGATCTATTGTGGTTTAAATCAAGCAAACTATTTAATAATGCGTTTATTTATTTAATTATGCTCTCTTGTTGGACATAAAAAGCATAATTCTGTTTGTTACACCTTATGAATTTAAACCCACTCAAGTATTTACACAAATAAATCCATTTAGTTATCAATGTGTGTATCGGTGTGTAGAGCATACAAATTAATTCTTATTTAAAACCAATAAGATTTTGTGGCGATCTGTATATATTTGAATGATGTTGTCAATACCTTTCTTTTCTTGACTGAATCGTCTTGCGTAATATAATTATATTCTGAACACATAGGCAGATGTTCGGTGTTATTTGAGGGTTTGTAAAATCTCTGGTTCTTCATCAGGTCAGTTCTCTGGCCAGCCTGTCGATGTGCCTCAGAACCACAAGCGAGCTGTGTGCGACCTCACTGTCGCCGACCGATTGGCTCTTTATGATCACGTGACTGGCGTTCTGAACCAACAGAAAGAAACGGCCTCCTCCAATGAGGATCTCTACGTAGATCTGGTGTCCAAACTTCGAAAAGGTAATATTCAAAGACTGTTTATATGTCTCAGGAAGAGTTCTGCTGTTTCCTCCTGTCTGGATTTTAATTTTTAAAACACAAATACTTGGAAAAAAAAAATAATTTTTATTGTAGAGAAACTCTGGATTTGTTTTCTCCATTAGAGCACCTTAAATGGTAATTTGTGTGTACAGGTGAAAAACAAAATGAGCCAAAGAGTCATCTGGAGCGGATGGCTGAGATGAGGGACTATAAGAGGCGGCGTCAGTCCTACAGAGCCAAGAACGTTCACATCACCAAGAAGTCTTACACAGAGGTTAAAAATCTGTTCATTTTGAGATGAATTGAATTCTGTCCTTTTATCTCTACTTATCTGAACTTGTTTTCAAATTGTTGATCTATTGGTGTTTTTATTGGCTGATTAGATTAAAATAATACTAATGATGATGGAAAAATTTGGAGAACTTGTCACCCAGTGCTCGTTTTAAATTCTGTTTTTTAATGGAAGTGGGTCAAACCTACGCATAGATCGTCAAAAAACATAAAAACAAATGAAAGTCAACAAACTTATAGTGACATGGTGATCACCCGCAGGTGATCAGAGATGTGATCAGTGTTCATTCAGAGGAACTTGCCCGACAGTGGAAAGAAGACGACGACGATGAAAAGGAGTCCTCGAGATCTGATCACTCTTCACACAGGTACTTCCAAAACATTTTTTTTTCTGCTGCTTTTGTTGGTTAGGAAATCACCTGTTGTCTTGACATAATTTGTCTGTCAGTCGCTGGACGGACAGAAGACAGTCGGGTTCCTCTGAGTCTCACCGCTCGCACCACAAGCGTCATCGCAGTCGGGAACGAAGCCACGACAGAGAGGACAAAAAGAAGAGTAAAAAGAGGGAGAGGTATGAAAGGAATTGTTCAGGATTTTATTCTAAGATGAATATACTTAAGATATTTTGGGATTGAGTTAGCACATAGACGTTTTCACGTTTTAAATCTTCTTCGGTCTTTTCAGAGATTCCCGTTCCCCCGATGACTACCACCATGACCGAAAGAAAAAGAAGAAGAAGAAGGATGACAAGGAGAGGGAGAAGAATGATTGATGGCTTGTCAACAACAGTCAGAATAATTGGGTTCAATGATTACCATGAAGTTTAATGACTGGTGTCATGGTAGCACAAATGATAGCTGTGTGTTTTATTTTACTTTAATAAATGGTAAAGTTTTGGGAGCCAACTTGAATATTTTGACTTTTTTTGTGAACATGTATTTTCAACATGTGTTTATCAATTTGATTACACTTCCATTTCAACATTTAAACCACCTGCGTCTTTCTTAGTCCGTGTTTTTCTTTTTCTCAAAAGGTCAAGTGAAATGTGAGACATGAGTGACACCGTTATGCCACAGAGCCCACAGGTCACTTTTTGGTCCTAATTTTTACTCGTGTTTGTATATCATATGCAAACAGGCCAGATGTTAGGGGATGTGGATAGGGGAGTGGTGGCGCAGAGGTTAGTGAAGGTGAACCTGTGGTCGGGAGGTCACCGGTTTGATTCCCCGGACTGTCAACATCAAAATGGGTGGAAAAGGTGCAACACCCACACCTGCCTCCACCCTCATTTGCCCCACTCTGGGCCCTTGAGCAAGGCTCTTAACCCCCACCATCTGCTTCCAAACAGGCCTCTTGAAAATGAGTACTTGTGACTCAAATAAAACTACCTGTATAAATAAAGGTAAAAAAAAAAAATGTTGCAGCAATTAAAACAAAAACCTGGAAAGTAGACATTTTGTGACTTATTCAAATGCCTGGTTTGGTTTTCAGTTTATTGCATTTAATGTCAACAACAAAAATGTTTAAAGATTTAAATGTACATAACTGCTTCCTGTAAAACCGATTAGTTTGAGGATATTAACAAAAACTAAATTCACAATTTATAAAGTTCTATGTGTTGTCATCGTTGTATGTTACCATACAGTGTTGAGATTGGTTCTCTGCATTTAACCCATCGCACCTGGGATACACCCAGGTGGAGCAGTGGGCAGCTATGTGAGCGCCCAGGGAGCAATGGGGGATTGGGTGTCTTGCTCATTGACACCATGGCATGTGGGAATGGCTGGGGATTGAGCCTGGGACTTTCAGGTCACAGGTCGGCTGCCCAGCCTCGGCCCCCCGAAATGTTTTATAACATAAAACCCCCGAGTTTTATGTAATCTTAAAATGTGTGGCACTAAAACCCCAAGTTGTTTTGCTAAAAGTCCCTTGTGAATCTGAATGTTGTGAAAAAGCCAATAAAATGGTAAATGCCAAATTACGAGGTTAAACTGAGCTCATGTTGAAGATGATCTGGTAACTTTTAGACTTTAGGTGACACTTTGCAGTTTTGTTAGGAGTTCGAGCGTTATCATCAGCATATGGAGAACGATGACTTTTAGTTTTTGGTAGGTCCGAACTAAATCAGTTTTTTCTATTACACTCCCTAGATCACGTTATAAGTTGCAGCCAAGCACTTTACTAAAATACTTTTTGTGAGATTTTTTTCTTGATTTTGCACCTTTCTAGTTACAATTTTATGATTTTTCATTTATTTGTGATTCTGCTGCAGCAGATAAACCCACAATCTCTTTATAGACATAGGTTTAAAAACTGAATTTCATTAGCTTATTGTGACTCGTACTTCTGATTACATTATCCATTTATGTACTCTGTAATTTAAATAACTGGTTTAACCTTTTTCTAAATTTTTCATTTTTTTTTTCATTTAGCCTTTATTTATCCAGGTTAGTCTAGTTAGTTAGTGCAAACAGTTTGTAGTGGCATGTTAGCTTAAGTCTCTGGTCTCTGCTAATGCTGCATTCTGGCACAGGTATTTGTCACTGAGTTGAGAAGGTGAACAAAAACCACTGAGGGGACCCAGTCAGTGCTGGGGAGCCTGGTGGATCCTGGAGAGGCAGACTGGATGCAGATAGGACAGGGGCATCCGCTGCAGAGATGATGCTGGGGTGAAAAACGCCAGAGAAAGTCTATCCTGAAAGAAACCTGTTTGGTATCTTTTCTGGTTCAATAAGACGAACGTTGCAGCATCATGGGAGCTCCCAGTGACGAGGTAAGAGGGGACACGTTGGGTTAGCTGGTTCGGCTGCACTTGACTGAGAATGCAAAGGGTCAAACAAAAAGTTTGTTTGGATTATCTGAATTAAAGTTTAGTACACCAAGTTAAATCAGCCAGAACGTGCTTTTATTTTTAATGGAGTAATAAGTGGGTAAATATTTAAGTGTGATACGTTACAAAAAATGTCAATGACAACAAAAATAAACATTTTAGCAGCAGGTGCTGTTAGCAAAAATAAATTGTTTTAGTTAAAAGTTCAGTATATAGAGTTTTCCAGGATATCAGCAAGTATCTTACCAAATATATATTTATAATTTTTTTTCTGTCTGAATGGTTTTAAATTTGACATGCAGAAGCATTTTTATTTTATTTTAAATATATTTATCCTTTGAAAATAAATCGCATCTTTTAACTGTTAAATATAAGTTGGATGAGATACTGTAATGTTGTTTTTTTCCTTGTTTTTATATATATGTATTGGTTTTATAAAGATTTAAAGATTTTTTTTTGTGCTAAATACTGTTTATTTAGTATTTTATGTAAACTGATCAAATCAGATGTTTTTAAAACATTTTTTTCCTTAAAATTTCTGCATGTTTTAAAGCTGTTTACATCCTATCAGTTTTTGTTTTATGTCATAGCATTGCAGTGACTTTTTTTCCTTTCTAATCAAAGATAAACACGTAAAATATGAAATGAATCTCAACCATTGGAAGATGATTCTCACCCCAGAGGTCCTGCAGTTCAGGACTTTTATTTCTAATTTTGCCCGCTGCACAATTAGCAAAATGTCTGGATATTTACATCTTTATAAAGAAAAAATAGCAGAGATGCAGAGGGTTTATTGAATGTTTGATGGCTAACGTGTTTGTGCTCTGAGATGTTAAAGTGTCTTACAAGTTGTAAGATTTAAAGCAGGAAACTGGTTTGTGGTTGAGGTTTTATCCACAACCTTTGGTTTATTGACGTTGTATACATCTTGTCTGGTTAGACGTGCGGTCTTTTTTTCTTTGTTGATGTTCAGACTCAGTGCAGTTTCAGGAATGTCAGATGAATCTGAGAAGAGCTCAGCCATTTTTGTTCTGACAAAGAGACTTCAGTCTGTTGAATTCTCACCCAAACACAAGCAGAGTCATCTACAGACTCGGACCTTTCCTCCCTAAACACTGTTTGACCTTCTGAAACTTTAGTTCACATTCTGTCACAATATAAAGAATCGGTGCTAAAAACTGACCTAAAAAAACACATAGCACCAGTTCACAATGAAAATCATCTCTGGTCACTCCACAAAAACTTGCACATGCATTATAAAATGTGTCGTCTTTCAAAAGAAGGCAGCAGATTGCATCAAATCTCCACTTTGTCAACAATCTTCCATCCCGAGCAGCACATTGGTGACAGGAAGAACCTCCAGCAGACACAGGCTCAGGATGGAGAGACTGGCCGGGGTTAGAGAGGACAGGAAAGGAGCACAGACAAAAATGGAAGGATCAGTCAGTGTGGTTCGTGTGGGAAGAAAACAAGAAACCAGTTCAGACAAAATGAAGGATCGGTCCAGGTCTAGTTTCTGTGGTAAGAAAAACAATGTAAAACACATGTCAGTGGTGTTAATTACAAATACAAACACGGAGAGGAGAGTGATTAAAGTGGTCAGTTTGTCCTGCAGTCGATGCAGAGCTGCAGTTTTATGGGTCATTTGAGATTCATGAAGAAAATGAGTGGCTGGAATCAGACATTACAGGAGCCGTGATGTCATCAAATCTGTGGCATTTCTATTTAATACCGTGCCACTCAACAGGTCAAGACTTGAGTCTTTGAACATTCACATCGGTGATCTGGAATAAAGTAAGAAAAGAACTGAAAGGGAAGAATAATCAAACATGATCTTTTTTTTTATTTGAAGCTGTTTGACATCATCGGGGATCAGTTCACAACAATTTACCAGCTCGAGCAGTACATTAAAGCAGATAAAATAACCATATGTTTCTGTTGTATGTGTATGTGCTCTTTTCTGGGAAAGCACTACTGGTATCAATCTTCAAATTTATCGAGGAATTTATTTCCCCATCTTTTAATGAGCTTCAAATATTAATTTCTTCCTGTGTTTTCATCAGGTTTCCATCTTCTCAGGGCTCTTTGTGTTTGTGTTATTGATCATCTCTTCCCTCTGCCAGGAGGAATACTCTGGATACCACTCAGGTCAGAGAATGCTCAGATTTAATAAGTATAAAAGTGTTTGTTAAAACAAAAGCAGTGATAATTTTAAAACGACCTCATGTAAACACTTCATTTTATATTCACTTTATTTTATAGTTTTAGTTGCATATCTATCTATCTATCTATCTATCTATCTATCTATCTATCTATCTATCTATCTATCTATCTATCTATCTATCTATCTATCTATCTATCTATCTATCTATCTATCTATCTATCTATCTATCTATCTATCTATCTATCTATCTATCTATCTATCTATCTATCTATCTATCTATCTATCTATCTATCTATCTATCTATCTAT